AACTGTTAAATGTTGATGAAGAAAGGGGGACCATACTTTCAAGCATTGACAAGGGAGGTCTTAAGATCTTTTAGGAGTGAGAAAGAGCCAGCTGTGAGATTTAGTGGAGATGCGTGAGGCAGTGGGTAAAATGAAAAAGGGGTAATGCAGCTGGGACTGATGGGGTCAAGACAACAATGTTAAAAGCAGGTGAGGATATAATTTTGGAGTGGTTGATACTTTTGTCTAATGAATGTATGAAAGAGGGAAAGGTACCTAGGGATAAGCAGAGAATGTGCATATTTTCCTTTTATAAGGAAATAAAGACAAAATAGAGTAAAAGTTATAGAGGAATAAGCTTGATGAGTATACCATGTATTGTATGGTAGTTATTACTGAAAGAATTAAGGGTTGCAACGGAACAAGGAGGCCTTCTTGAAAGGGTAGGAGATGCAGAGACCAAGCATTTACATTGAAGTATACAAGTGAATAATATTTAGATAAAGTTAAGGAAGTTTTTGTTGCATTTATGGATTTAGAAAAGGCATATGATAGGGTGGATAGCAGAGCAATGTGGCAGAGGCTGCAAGAGTGTGGAATAGGTAGTAGGTTATTGAAAGTAGCTAAGAGTTTTTATGAGGAAAGCGAGGCTCAGGTTAGTGTATGTAGATGAGAGGGAGATTATTTTCCAGTTACAGTAGGCCTTAGACAAGTATACATAATGTCACCATGGTTGTTTAACAAAAAAAAAGTGATTGCTAGGATGTTGGGGAGAGGTTTGGGCTTAAAATGTATTGAATCTAATAAAGGTCAGCCATCACTAATCCGGCATCACTGGGACCTAAAGTGTGCTGGATTAGCGAGTTTGATGGATTACAGAGTGGTTAGGTCTGAATACACTTAATTAACCTATCAATAGACTCTTTCTGCTACATCTTCCTCATTTTCATCACTGCTTTCTCCTCCATTGGTTTGCTGCTGTGGATTTACAACCATCTGCACAATTTCTGCATCAGTATAATGATGAAATTTGAGTAAGTATAATGATAAAATTTGAAATTATGCTAGCCAAAATTAGTGCTGGATTACTGATGGAGCCAGATAACCGATTGCTGGATTAGTGATGGCCGGCCTGTACAAAGTATGAGTTGCCACAGTTGCTTTTTGCTGATGACACTGTGCTTCTGAGAGATTTTGAAGAGAAGCTGCAAAGGCTGGTGTATAAATTTTGGAGGGTGTGTAAAAGAAGGAAATTTAAAGTGAACATGGGAAAGAGCAAAATGACGAGGGTAACAAACAAGTTAGGTAATGAAAGACTGAATGACAGAGTGTACAAATCTGTAGTGGAGGGAAGGCGGGGTAGGGGTTGGAGGGAGGGGGTAAAGGAGATTTTGTGTGTGAGGGGCTCGGACTTCCAACAAGCATGTGTGAGTGTATTTGATAGGAGTGAATGGAGACAAATGGTTTTTAATACTTGACATGCTGTTGGAGTGTGAGCAAAGTAACATTTATGAAGGGATTCAGGGAAACCAGTAGGCCGGACTCGAGTCCTGGAGATGGGAAGTATAGTGTCTGCACTCTGAAGGGGTGTTAATGTTGCAGTTTTATAAATTGTAGTGTAAAGCATACCTCTAGCAAGACAGTGATGGAGTGAATGATGATGGAAAGTTTTTCTTTTTTGGGCCACCCTGCCTTGGTGGGAATCGGCCAATGTGTTAATAAATAAATAAAAATAATGATACCAACACTTACGTTGGTATGAAGCATGGGTTGTGAATGTTGCATTGGGGAGGAAACTGGAGGCAGTGGAGATGTCATGTCTGAGGCCAATATGTGGTGTGAATATTATGCAGAGAATTCACAATTTGGAGATTAGGAGGGGGTGCAGGGTTACCAAAAGTATTATCTAAGAGGGCTGAAGAGGGGTTGCTGAGTTTGGATATTTACTTTTTTGGGTCATCCTAGGTAATTTACACATGTTAAACAGTGTATGATAATTGTACTTATGTGTACCTGTACCTAAATAAACTTACTATTTATAAATCTGTAGTGGAGGAAGGCAGGGTAGGAGGGGTTGACCTAGGAAAGGTTGGAGGGAGAGGATAAAAGGCTTTATGTTCGAGATCCAGCAGGCATGTGTGAGCATGTTAGGAGTGGAAGCAAATGGGTTTTTCAGACTTGATGAGCTGTTGGAGTGTGAGCACGGTTACATTTTGTAAAGGGATTCAGGGAAACCAGTTAACGGCACTTGAATCCTGGAGGTAGGAAGTGCAGTGCCTGTACTCTGAAGGAGGGATAGGGATACCTGCAGTTTAGAGGGGCATCTGAACTGAAGTATCAGCATGCCTCTGGCAAGACAGTTATAGAGTGGGAGATGGCCAGTGTGTAGAAAAAAATTTATGTTATATAAATACTCGAGAGAACAGTGAATGCCACATGACAAGAAAATGTAATCACATGGTAATTTGGGCAAGCATACCACAGGTTTACCGGCCCTGAATTAGGACAACCCAAAACAGGTAAAGTGTTAGTAGTCCAGTTTTCATCTAGGTTCTGTACATAAATTCAAACAATGCAACTATTTTCCTTTGAGTCCACTGGAGTCCATATATAATGGTACACCTGGATGGTGCACTATTACAATCAGTATTGTAGCCTTGCCCAGACTTACTTGAAACTATATAACTTACATCTTAACAGTTGTTGAGTTTTATAGTCTTTAGATTCACATTTTGTATTATATTTTAGCATTACTATTTGTTGAATATAAAGAGAGCATATACATGTGCCTAAATAATATTCAGCAATAAGGACCTTAATGGAAACATTGTTTGACTTTATTGGGTCATCTTAGGTTATTTTTTCATAATTTATCATTAGTGTATGTCTATAACAACTATATGTCTAGTGCAATCATTGTAAAAACATGTAATATTACCTGTAATATCTGTTTAACCTGAACAAAGGTTACTAGAAGTGTAGCTACCATAACTATTCCCATTACCACAAACAAAAACCTGAGACAATAAATTACAGTACATATATTACTTAAATTTGAAATAATTGCATTAATACAGAATATAATTTCTACAATGGGAAGTCTTTTTTACCATGGATAATATTAAAACTCTTTTTTATACATTAATTACAGTACATAATGTTGTAACTAATGAAAAGCCAGGCAAAATACTGGAATTTTATTTTAATCTGGAAAACTTGAAATCATATACTAAGTCAGATTCAGACTTATAATGTTGAAATGGTAAAGACTGTACATAGTAAAATACATGTTAAGATAGGCTAGGTATATAAGACATATAAGAGTACACAAAACACAGTACTGTACATAAGTAATAAAGCAAGGAAGGTCCCCTACTTTACTCTGCAACATTATCATTTCTTGTATAAAAAATAGGGATCTTTCCCTAAAATGAAGAGTTCATTGTTCTTAAAAGGATTTCTGCTACTCAAATTTTAAATTTTCTTTAGAGAGTTTCTTTTCAGTAAGCCACCTGTTTTATGAAGTGAATATATTAATAAATTAACATTTTTAATAAGGTTGAATACAGTAGGTCACTAAAATAATATGAGAGAGACATTGTTAGCATCAATAAATCTGATATGCACTGAACTATATATCCCTTTATATCGTAATTACCATATACCTGTGATGAAATAAGGCCAGGTAGTCACACAATATGCTTTCACAACATTAAATAGTAACAATAATGTCCTGGTTGACTGAGGTAGTCTCCCTCACTGCTCTCTCTCTCTCTCTCTCTCTCTCCACTTCTATACACATTTCATGTAAATTCACTTATGTTTCACTATAGTACAATTATCGTACTGCCACTCGGTAACACACGCAAATATATACATATATAAATATGTTATACATCACTTTTCATTATTAAAGTCCACCTTTATTACATCAGACAATGATGTATATTGTTAAATAGGAATAAATTCTGGGCAAGTAAATATTATAACCCTAATCACCATATTTTTGATAATTAAAACTTCAGTATAAATATCATTTACTAATTACGTCAAGTTTATATAGTTATTTCAGCGACAAATAGGTTATGTTGTGCTCATAATTGACTATTAAAGAAACAGTGGTGAATAAACTTGCCATATGTAGAAGTTTTCAGGGCAATGAAGAATACGATAAATGAATTAATGAATAAACGAGTTAATAAAAGTGAAAGTCAGGGAAGGTGTTAATGAATCTTTGAATAAAATGAACGAGCGTGTTTGTAATAGATGTAGTGAGGAGCCTGGGTGCTCATACCCTGCCTTCACACAGTGGAATAAAGTGAAAAACCCACCTACATCATCAACCTCTGCTCAGCCTCAACTACTTCTATTTGACCCGACGGTAAATAACCCAATTAACCCTGTTCTGCAGCGCCATTGTGGACCACAAATGATTCCTCAGGCCTAAAAAATAATTGATAAAGTAATAGTTACCTTTTAATGTACATTATAAACCAAGAAATATTCACTTTATTGTAAGCGTTGGCACATATTTTTGACAATACATTATTGCTTTATTTTGTGCTCTTCTACCTCACAGAACTAAAATATAATTATCCTTTAAATTATATTACATGAGAAAGATTTTTTAGATTCAATATATGGCAGAAAAGCTTATTTGTAAATATCTTGGTAAGGTAGTTGAGCTTATCAGTCCTCCATGACGTCCAGATATTTCTATTTACTTAAAAAGATACAAATTACTTAAGACTTCTTACAGCTTCGAATAATTTATTTAATGCATAAAAGTGCATAAAAATGCATATTTTCCAGTTGTATCTTATTTAAATCCTTGAAATATTGATAAATTAAAGTTCCCGCTATACCCTTGATGGCCGCCTCACACCCTCGCACTGTGAGATTTACCTTCCCTCAGGAAACTAGTTCCAAATTAAATAATTTAATTATAACTTTGTACTATTTTCGACCCTTTAGAACACCCTATTCTAACATGAAATAATAAAATTAAAATTTTTGCAATGGCAAATTTGAAATATCGGAGATTTCAGCAGATGAGTCAATGTTTGTGGTGGCGGAGGAAGGTGTAGAGGCAAAACAAGCCCAGCGTTTTGGGTGCTGAGCAAGTTGAGGCTCAAAGTAACGAGACATTGACTTATTTGTTAAGTTTTGTGCTGGTGTGTGACACCACGAGTGCTGCGGAGGTCCTACACATTGCCAACGCCCACATGGACTCCGCAAGAAGATAATTGCGTGAGTTGTTGTGTAGGGTTTGCATGTGAAAGCTGGCGGGGGCCAGGAGAGCCTTTACTCATTTTGAAGTTAGCGAGAGAGTGTAAACAAGAAACAGCTGACTGGCATGAATGAGTGACGTAACAGTGTCAGCTGACCACGTGTGAGGTCACACCAGGTCACACTGACCCCAGGCTCCACCCATCAGACTCACACTCCAATACACACAAACTACCCAGTCTTTACATTTTTAAGGGTTTTTCAGCGATTTAAATAATTGTTAACAGTTATTTAAAGCACCATGATTAAGAGCCCTGTAATTAGGTATTATTAAAGCTGTAAGAATTATATTTTCTTACACTACTACCCACTTTAAAGAGGCCATAATAAGTGCCTTATAATTCTGGATTTAAATTTTATTAGCATTTTATGAGTTTAACTTGCAGTACAAGCATATTATAATTAAAATAAAGTTCCTAAGACTTGCTTTTGATCATTTTTTTTAAACATTTGAATGTAATTAAAATGAAGTCGGCTCTCTTACCACAGCTTCCATTAGCAATAAAGGCATCCACAGTGTTTATTCAGATTAAACAACTAATTAAAGACTAATGCTTAGGCTTTGTGTGTTCAACTTGAGTGTGCATATTCTATTTCTATGGTAACTTCCCCCCCCCACTTAATTTTTTATTAACTGTGTTCTTACCCCAGTTATTTGTCACACATTTAAGATATACTCTTAATATGCTAATCAACTTGAGTATCTCTTAAACAGTTAGTATTGTCAGAGACTTCACAGAAATGACCCAAGTTCAGTATTGTCACAGACTTCACAGAAATGACCCAAGTTCAGTATTGTCACAGACTTCACAGAAATGACCCAAGTTCAGTATTGTCACAGACTTCACAGAAATGACCCAAGTCATATTGTCACAGACTTCACAGAATGCCAATCAGTACTGTCACAGACTTCACAGAAATGGCCCCAAGTTCAGTACTGTCACAGACTTCACAGAAATGACCCCAAGTTCAGTACTGTCACAGACTTCCCAGAAATGACCCCAAGTTCAGTATTGTCAGAGACTTCACAGAAATGACCCCAAGTTCAGTATTGTCAAGACTTACAGAATGACCCCAAGTTCAGTATTAGTGCCAGAGACTAAACAGAAATGACCCCAAGTTCAGTATTGTCAGAGACTTCACAGAAATGTCCCCAAGTTCAGTATTGCCAGAGACTAAACAGAAATGACCCCAAGTTCAGTATTGTCAGAGACTTCACAGAAATGACCCAAGTTCAGTAGTAGTGTCAGAGACTTCACAGAAACAACCCAAGTTTAATTTCTGGGCTGGGCAAGACAATGCAAGAAGATACAAAGTCTTCCAGTGGGCAATGAAAAATAACACTACAGTCATTGGTGACACATTGCAACTGCTTAGATGGAAAGAATGAAGACTCGAGTGAGACACTATACACGAAATCCAAGATGATCAAATAAAAATAAAAGGAACATGTGGAAATCTGGGTATAAAGTAGGGCTAACCTTTCTTTCAAATAACATAAAGCAAATATCACAAAAACCAAGAAAAGGACAGGGTAGATAATAAAAACTTTCAAAAGCTATAGTGTGAGTGATGAGACTTTTGAAATCACATGTGCTTTCTTCCTTAACCCCTCACTGTCCAGTGCCCCAAAATTAAAAGTAGTCATGTGTCCACAGTTGTAAAAAATAAAAATATATTTTCTTTTGAAATGGTAGAGAATCTTTTTCTGAAGGTAATGACACTGCAAATGCAAAATTTGATGGAAAATGTATGGAATTATGCAGGCACAAAGCAGTCTGGACACAATTTATTAATCAGCATTTTCACCTACTTTGAGTCCTATTTTAAGGCAATCTCATTGCTCAGTTTGATCAGATTCTTAGCTATTTTGCTAGTATGCCTTCTGTTCTATTGAACACAAGAAAATGATCATTCACCTAACAAAAATACCCTATTTTACACAAAATTAATAAATTCCAGTGTAAAAACAATCCAAAATAAACACTAAACATTCCTGGCACTAGAAAATTTCCTCTTAATTAATCATGTCCCCAGGCCTTTCCTTACAGTGGTACCTCGAGTTTTGAACAGCCCCCCAACTCGAGCAATTATGTAAGTGTATTTTTGTAAGGACTTTTGTAAGTGTATTTTTGGGGGTCTGAAACGGACTAATCTAATTTACATTATTCCTTATGGGAACATATTCACTCGGTATCGGCACTTTCTGGAACAAATTAAGTTCGTAACTAGAGGTACCACTGTATTACACTTTCCTTCCATTTTGAATTCATCACCACAATAGAAAAAAATCAAAGATTTACCCTATTTCTTGGATAAAATATAACCAGGAATAACTAGTCATGGTTTATGGCATCCAGATATTTTAATCAAAATTAGTGAAAACCCATAAATCATACCAAAGGGGTGTAGGGTGGCCGTACCTGTCCTCGGAAAAATTAGGAAAAATCAAACATTTCCACTAATTTGGGGTTGGTTGCAAGCTATTTCCAGTCCTGGAACCAACCAAAATCATTTCTATTTCAGTAGTATCTTCCATTCTGTCAAATGATACCAAGAAACGGCTAATAAAATGATACAAATCATTCTAGAAAACGCCTCAAATTTGCTATTTTGGACTAAACACAAGGTCAAAAATTTTCCTTTTCCCATCATGCACCATGTGGGGCAAGATATTTTTTTATATTGTGCACACTCGCTGCACAGACCAATTCGTACTGCTCTCAGCTTATCTGAATGACCTTAGCTCAAGACAGATCTACGTGAGAGACCCTGGCATTAATAACCTAGATCTATGTGATGGACAGTGAAAGGGTTAAAAAATATTGGCTTACTGTTGACAGATCCTTTCGGGAAAGGAGAGATATCAGAGTTGGAACAAATACAGAGGTCATCATGATAGAGGAGAGATGCACGATATATATGTGGAAAGTACTTGAGGGCCTGGTCCCAAATCTGCACATTTGCCATAATAACATGGCAGCATGAGAGATATGGGAGAATGTGTAAAGTAAGAGGGTTTAGACTGACACACTACCATAAGATATCGGAAACACTGCAGAAACAAGTGTAGAAGTCTTCAAGAGGAAACTGGATATTTACCTCTGCCAAGTGCCAAATTAACCAGGCTGTGATGGATATGTGGGCCAGTGGGCTGCTGGCAGTGTCAGCCTGGTTCAAACACTAGGCAAGTTTGGCTCAGGTCCAGGGTGCTGGAGTAAGGAAAGCTCGAAATCCTTCAAAGGTACTGTATATCAGAGATGTGCCTACACTTGCTGCTCACTCAGTCGCTTAGCAGTAAATAGATACTTTAAAGTTAGTGAACTATTGTGGGTTGCAACTGACAGGAGTATCCCATAGGAAACTATACATATATAGCTTTACTTTGTTGGGGTATCCTGGGTTAAATAACCATGAGGATGACTTCTAATCCTATCTTGCCTTGTTCATGGCTTGTTTCTCAGGTAGTAGCACCTTTAACTTGCATCTGAAGAACCTGTATTTGGTTTTAACATGTTTCCCCACACCTGAGGTCTCTACACCTAGCAGTAAGTAGGCACCTGGGAGTTAGCTGACTGTTGTGGGTCCCATTCTGGGGAAGAAGATCGAAGGACCCATCTCGAAATGTCAGGCATAGCTCGCATTATTGTGTTATCCTGGGTTAGTAACCTTTTTTTTTATGTGAATGTAATGTCTAAAATCCCTTGGTGTTCAACATTTGATGTGATACCTATTTTCCTCTGCCATGCAAGGCTGAATAACCCTCAGGTTTAGTACTTGAAATTATTATTATTATTATAGCACCACTATTATTACATAAAGCTGCATTTAGCACATTTCTTAATTAAAAGCTTGTAAAAATTAGCTACTACATACGTACAGATAAAAAACTTAGGTTTCAGAAAGTGTACTTTAAGTTTTGTGGCCTATTAATTGATTCTCTATAGTTTTTTAATTGTTTTTTTAACCACTAATAGGTAAATGGTGATTTCAGTTACAAAATAATGTTAGTTGTTATTATTATGTCGGTGTTATAATAAAATATCTGAATAATAGCTCCTTTACTTTTATAACTTGCCTGCCTTCCAACCATACAATATTAATGATTTGTAATTTATCAGATGCTTTCTTACTCATCAGTTAAGTCACTTCATATATTTTAAATCTTATTTCTAATATTCATAGCATTATATGTAAATTGTTATATACTGTGCATAATTACATTTGTTCAAAAATTTCTTGATGCAGTGTTCATAACTGTGTACAGTGGAACCTCAAAAATCAAACTTAATCCATTCCAGGAGCTAGTTCTAAATTGGAAAAGTCTGAAATTCGAAGCAATATTTCCCATAAGAAATAATGGAAATACAATTAATCCGTTCCAGAAACCCAAAAATATTCACACAAAAAATACATTTTATAGAGATTAATTACAGTTTTACATACAACAAATACTATAGTTTTTAATTATGTAGAGTAATACATATAAAATAACATTTTTACTTACCTTTATTGAAGATTGGTGATGGCATCTGGAAGATAGGGAGGAGGAGAGAGGGAGTTGGGGTTAGTGTTTGGAAGGAGAATCCCCCTCCATGAGGACTTCAGGTAAAGCCCTCTCTGGGGTTACTTCCCTTCTGTCTTTTAATGCCACTAGGACCAGCTTGAGAGTCACTGGACCCCTGTCTCACAAAATAACTGTCCACAGTTATGCCTCTTTAACATTTCCCTAAAATGGGACATGGTTCTGTCACTGAACTTGTTGTAAAGATGGCTTGTTTCAGCTTGCTCAGGGTGGTACTTCTGCACAAACATTTGGACATCATTCCACTTGGCACAAATCTCCTCAATCTTTGAAGAAGGCACCTCATCCACTCCCTATATTAACACCTTTCGCAACATCAGCTTCCTTGATTTGTTCTTTCTTTGACAGGATAGAACCGATGGTCGACTTGTTTTTC